GGTATCATGACCGTGCTGACAGACTGGCCAATGAGGCATGTAAGAAAGAAAATGTTGACCGTGACCTTGGCCTGTCCAATGCTGTACTTAAAAACCTTGGCAAAATCTAAGTATATAATGTTGATATTACCGCCCTGTTGTTCGTAAATATTATGTCGTAGGATTTAGATGATAGTAAATAAGGTTAGTATATCATGAATTATCATAGTTTAATTAAAATATGTATGAGCTTGTCTCCCAACTCTGTATGTATATCCGCCCACCAGGGACTGCCATCCTGAACCTTGAAATCAATTTAATGCTTGTCTTCGACAGCTCAGCCAGAGCATAGATTGAAAAGGGAATCTTAGGAAATGGAAATGAGTTCGTAGTCTCAGTTTTAAACGTCAAAGGATACAGTAACGTAGTACATTGAAATAGTTGAGCGAGTGGCATTCGAAACTTAGCGAGGGAGAGGAGTGCGGCGCTGGCGCTCTCAGGCGTCAGTCCAGCGTCTGTAAATCACTCCACCCACAGGTAATGTCCGCTCCTCCGTATTATACCTCGCCACATTAAGTAATTTTGACTTAGTTAATAGTATGAATATGCAAGTGATACAGAAACGTAACTGATGTGTCTAAAGTGAAGTATTCTTACGCCCTTAACGTCCTTTGAAACGTTGATGTTCATGTCAAGTCAACATCCTCAGTCCAGCGTCTGTAAATCCCTCCACCCACAGGTTCCACTCGGCTAAGAGCCTTGTATTGTAGATTGGGACGACCTCCACACTAGTTTGGGAGATGAATGAAGGCCAATAAACTCGGGTATATTCGTGAACACGAGCGTCAGGAACTCACCACCACCTCTGGGGTCCAGGGAACTGGCCAGCCTTCACCTGACACGTTCACTGCCCAGCTTCTTGATATCACAAGCCGAGCAAACGCTGCCAGCCCCCATCATTGTTATGGATGAGTCCACTACTCAGTAGGGCTATTTGGTGGCTGTGTTATTCCCCCGAGTACAACTGTAGGTGTCCACCTGAATTGTCTGAGTGTGGGCATTCAGCAACAGTAGGTTGACCATCACTTTGCTTGTGGGCAAAGGTACCACAGTGGTGAAGAAAAGCTACTGTAGTGGGCTTCTCCCCTACAACTGCGTAGCAGCTCACCACCTGCTATCGCATTCCAATGTGCCGCCTTCCCTAGCAACCAACCAGATGTTACCGTATCTTAGCAACGAAACTATTCACCGGCTACTTCTCGGGTTTTCCCACCATGACTCATGGCGGCTGCTGCGGGGTATATAAGCTCTGTCTCTCCCTTGAGATTCAGTCTGACCAATCTTCTTGAACAAGCAACACCTCCCTCCTCTGCCGCTGCCTGGCGACCCTCGCCTCTTCTCCGCCTGCCTGGCGGTCCTCGCTCCCGCCAGCGAGCATGTCCTTCTCTGAGCTTCCTCACCAACCAACTCTCATTCTGACCATTCTTCCTGAACAAGCAACATCTCCTCCAACAAGCTCCACGCTGTTAACATTTCATTCAACCAGGAGGCCAGCAACAGGCAACACCTTCTCTAACGAAGCTCCTGCACATCTACCTCCTTCAACACGATACTCCCGAACGTCTTCTACTGAGCTGCTCCCCACCACACGGCATCTCCAGCACCAGACTGTCTATCATATAACTTATATATATTATATAAGAAAACCACATTAGAGTTTCCTTCCATCCTGAGTGCTAGACAACATTAATATCTCGATACCCCTACACTACTAATTCTGGTGATGTTTAAGTATTAATGTTGGTGCTGTAACTAGCGTCATTGCCACGTGTAATAATGGTGCTCAAAGACGCTATGTAAGAGTATTATGTGTGTTCTTGTACATTTACACCCAGTCATGGTGTAAGTGGAAACTGTACCTAAGTTTAACAGTACAAAATAAGTAAAGCCAGGGAGTTGACCCCTGTAGTTGAGTGTTACTGAAATTATTCTTAAAATATAACTTCATTTTAATAAAGCTTTTTGTTTGTATGTTAGGAGTATCATTTACCTGCAGTGTTTAAGTCATTCCTTCCTATTGCTTGATACCAGAACTACAATGTACCCATGTGTCATAACCCTGGAGCCACGCTCCCAAAGGTCAGAGGTTATGGAGTAACCATGAAATGAAATATAAACTACTGGAGAAAAAAAATGAAGTAAGAAATTAAGAGAAAACCAGGTTGAAGACTTAAAAGGTAACTATCATGGTATAAATTAAAAAGAAGAATTAAAGAAAACCCCGCCCTTACAAATGATAGCAGCTTGTGGGATAAAACAGGAAGAAAACCCCCGCCCTTATAAATGATAGCAGCTTGTGGGATAAAACAGGAAGAAAACCCCCGCCCTTACAAATGATAGCAGCTTGTGGGATAAAACAGGAAAAAACCCATCGCCCTTACAAATGATAGCAGCTGGGATAAAACAGGAAGAAAAACCCCGCCCTTACAAATGATAGCAGCTGGGATAAAACAGGAAAACCCCCGCCCTTATAAATGATAGCAGCTAGGATAAAACAGGAAGAAAACCCCGCCCTTATATAAATGATAGCAGCTTGTGGGATAAAACAGGAAAAACCCCGCCCTTATAAATGATAGCAACTTGTGGGATAAAACAGGAAGAAACCCCCGCCCTTATAAATGATAGCAGCTATGGGATAAAACAGGAAGAAACCCCGCCCTACAAATGATAGCAGCTAGGATAAAACAGGAAGAAAACCCCGCCCTTATAAATGATAGCAGCGTGGGATAAAACAGGAAGAAAACCCATCGCCCTTATAAATGATAGCAGCAGGATAAAACAGGAAAAACCCCCGCCCTTACAAATGATAGCAGCTTGTGGGATAAAACAGGAAGAAAACCCCCGCCCTTATAAATGTTAGCAGCTTGTGGGATAAAACAGGAAGAAAACCCCCGCCCTTATAAATGTTAGCAGCTTGTGGGATAAAACAGGAAGAAAACCCATCGCCCTTATAAATGATAGCAGCTTGTGGGATAAAACAGGAAGAAAACCCCCGCCCTTATATCTGTATGTATATTGTCTTTACATGTGCTGTACTACTGCTTTTGGATTATATAGTAATTAAGTTTGTAGATTTTTTTTCATATTATAAATTTGACTGACCATATACTGTATGTATAAAATAAAACTGAAGGTGGGCTTTAGACTGAGCTTATATTTGTGTAAAAAAGTATGTACCCACTGTTGAAAACCCACCCAAAAGATATACTATAGATGAATTAATAGGTAAACAAGTATACGATACTTACCAAACATGTTTCAGGAAATTCTGCTTAAATGGACATACATCCATATAACACACTAACCTCCTCTAGTGGGCACTAACCCTGGATCACCTGTTTGGGGGAGAGGATCAACACCACTGAGCTACTCACTGATAAAACAATTGGCCTCTTACATTGGGAATTAGATATCTGTTTATCCTATCAGGCATCGTAAGCCACTTGGGGCCTGCCCATACACAAAACACCTCTGGAGTAACTGCTCCACACGACCCCTTGTTGTGAGGGTGGTGGTGAGGGTAGGGGGAGTTGAGTTAAAGTCATAGTTAGCAAGTCAATAGAAATTCAGGATCAATCCTTCATTTTAACAACAGTAAGTTAAACTAAATTAAACTGAAGAGAAAAATTATGACACTTAATCTTCTAAATTTAGAGACAAAAATCATTGAAGGATATTTCATACATTTTATCTTAGTACTGTAAAGGTGAACAGTTAAAGGAGTTGTAGTTAAAGCCAAAGCCAGTACTGTATAACTGCTTTTAGCCTAGTCATTGAATATTAATTGATGTGAATCTAAGAGTACGTATATATATATGTATATATATATATATATATACGTAAGATGTTGACTACAATTACCTTAAGCAAATAAATCTATTTAAAAACAAAGAAGCTCATTAGAAGAGTCATTGTCTTCAGTTGTCAGATATGGTGGAAAATACTCTCCTTTATAAGTACAGAAGCCTCTCTTTTGATACAGGACAGTCAGCTTGTTGGGCGTGTTTTTTGATAGCTGAACTAGGCTTTTTACCAGTAGTTATTGAACACCCGGTTTCCAATGAACAACCAAGCACTTGTTCATGCTGGTCCTGTGATGGCAATTTGATTTGGTGATGTGTGTGATGCCTTACAGCAGTCAAACTTACTATATTCTATCGAGGAGGAAGATCACTAGGCAATGTGTCGCTGAATCTAAACACTTGTCAGTATAGAAACACCAACTTTATATCTTTACCCAGGTAGTCTACAGTAGTGTTTGATTTAGATTCTTTATATTTTGCTTCTTGGCAACTTTCATTTCCTAGAACTAGAGAAGAGGGTTAGTTAAAGAAAGTATTGTTAAGGAATCATTATAAAATAGAATACAGTACTTACTTTATCCATAAACAATTTGTCAACTCCCTGTCGTTAAGTACTGGGCAAGTGTTGGTTCTTAATGTAACTAAGCACGTTCCAGCATTGGTTAGGCCAAGAGCGCAAATCCCAAAGGGTCAGGACCTCCACTTCTTCCTTTGAGGGGTCGGAGTATCTTAGGACCCCCGCTTTTTCCATTGAGGGGTCGGAGTATCTTAGGACCCCCACTTTTTCCTTTGAGGGGTCTGAGTATCTTAGGACCCCCACTTTTTCCTTTGAGGGGTCGGAGTATCTTAGGACCCCCACTTTTTCCTTTGAGGGGTCGGAGTATCTTAGGACCCCCACTTTTTCAGTTAAATAATATGTATAAGAGGGACTAGCCCTGCATTTCTGCCAACCTGACAACTCTACTTCCACCCATGTCGATATAATCTTGAATCACTTCCAGATAGTTAGTTATTCTTGCCCAAGATGCCACAAAAATTGCATTTTCAAGATTTTCTTAGCCGTACTCTCCTCCATATTTCGATGTGAATATCAAGACTTTTCTTAAAGAGCCCTGACAAAACACCTGTGACTATACGACACCTATGAATAGTGTGAGAATCAGAATAACGCTTTATTTAGAAATATCACTACAGATACAGTTTTAGGTAGAATCAGGCATAGTAAGTCTTAGGTATGGACATTTTTGTAAAAGTGATGCCTTAACTTATATTAATTAGAAATGTGCGAAAGATTGTTCTTCTGAATAACATCTTCAGTAGGGATAGTGTTGGACATTCTGTCAAATATTCAGTTACAAAAATGTCTGATAAAGACTTTGTCGGTACTTACAAAAGCATTTTCAGCATTGCGTCGCTCAGATGTTTAGCTACAAATATGTTATAAAAGTCACCCTACAATTAGCTGTGGCATCCTGATAACAATCATTGTGGGTCAGAGGAGCTTTATAAATCCACCATCATAATTTATGCTGTACACTGTTATAGCCTAAAACACAAGGGATTATTTTTAGTTAATATATATAAATTAAAGGTTTACTTGGGTCTACCATGAGTAGTCTAGTGGTTAGTGATACGAGAATACAGGTACACGTGTCACTTTGGGCTAGGGTAAGAGTCTGGTACTTTTGAGATGAGTTAATGCCTTCATTAGTCACAGTTTAAGTGTATAAGATGAAAACAATACAGCAATTCATAAAGTATAATCCTGAATTAGGTTGTCATGTTAGGTTTACTGAAGATGGGTTAGAGTAAAGTTTGGTTAAATTAGATTCAATTTGGTTAAGTTAGGTTAAGGTGGGTTGAGGCAGGTTCGGTTAAGGTAGGTTAGATTAAGTTAAATCGGGGTAGGTAAAGTTAGATTAGCCTCTGTTCAGTGAAGTTAGGAACAGATACACTGGTTGGAGGGACAGTTTCCTGCAGCACAGTTGTTGGCACACCACGTATCCAGCCCAGGCACCCAGTGTGGTGACCCCCTCTGCACGCTGCGACACCCACGCCCTCTTGACCCGGGACCAAATCTTGTAAGACCTTGGTCTCGTCCCATGCTTTCACGACCTCGACTTGCCCCACCCCTGCTATGCCCCATGCCTCTGTTGTTATGTCTAATACCACCCTGTCCCCTGGGGTTGGTCGGGGCCACGTAACGACCGTGTTGGCTGGGAAAGGGTTTCCCAGGCCTCTGATGAATGCCGAGTGTGCTGCTTGTCGACTGACCACGGTTGAGCTGATGGCTGAATGTGGTGGTCGTTGACTGACCATTCTCGAGCCTACTGTTGCTGCTGATGGTGCTGCTATCGTGAACTCTCAACTTTCCTAAGTCTTCCGCAGACTCCTGACTTTCCCTGTTTATAGAAAAGAAAAAAAAAAATATAAGAAAGAGCTAAAGATCAAAATGATGAGCCAGAATAACTTCGAGAAATGGTCTATATGTAAACAATGATTAATTTTGGAGACAAAAGAAGGACTCATATCAGTGGCTTAAAGTTGACTTGATTCTGTTTTTGTCTCCTGTGTGCACATGTGTGTTCAATAAAGGTTGGTAGTAATTATATGACCATCTTGGTGTTGTCTATTTCTACTACTATTAAGTATTTTACAACGTGTTCAAGTGACAATGCCAATTAGCACACAACTACTTACGCTTGCAGGTTGTCTTGGTAGAGATTTGAGGACTGCTGGACCTCTGGCCTGTACTCAATCTCCCGGAGGTCGTCACTCACCTCACTCTGAACCAGTAAGGGAAATTATCATTGTGTGTTTGTTACATTAAAAGGAGTAGTGTCTAAACTGGCCCCCTGTTGTCATACGCTCAGACAACAGGTATCCATTGTCGGGTATAAAAGTGGCAGATTGGCTAATCGCTGGAAACGAGTTAAAGTTAAATTTACTCGTCTCTCAGTGGTTAGTGAGTCTGCCGATCAGACCTTGACACGTCGTCGTTCTGCCACTGGATACCTGGTGTCTGATACAGTCACAATGCAAAGTTCTTTACCCCTTGGCTGGAGGGAAGGCGAAGCCAGGGTGAAGAAAGACCAGGAGAGCGGATATACAACTCTTTCAGTCGTTTGGTGATGAGATACGATGACGGTGGGGCTCACACATCAGCACCTCAACAGTCACTCAACTAAAACACACGAGCTAAGCTATGAAATATGATTCAAACCATTGACATGATATGATATGTTGACAGAGCTATAATTATTTTATAAACATTAATATATAATGACAACACAAAGTGAATGTCGGTTCGCCTAACCTTTCTTCAACCTTAGCTTTGCCCTCCCTCCAGCCAGGGGGTAAAGAAACTATGGCTTTGTGGCTGTACAGTACATGCCAATAGGCGCCCACATTATCAAAGGTTCGTACGGCATACATTTCTCATAACTGAAGACATAATAATGTCATTAATAGGTTGACATAAGATAAAGAACAAAACTTATTTCCCAAATTAGCATCAAAACTCTCCTGAGGCGACCTTAACTACAAGACGTGTTTACCAAAATTACAGCATACTTAATAATTTCCAAGAGATTCTGTAAGTTAAAATTGTCCCAAATTGATGTTTATATACGATTTTAATTATGAATCCCAGAATCATTTTTATAATATTTTGAGAAGTAATTTTACACTACAAGTCAATCAGTTAGGTGGATCCTTGCATCTTCAGTTACGAAGAATTTCCATCTCGCGAATCCTTAAAATATGGACCCGGGATAGCGTGGTTCGGGTTATGAGTAGACTACCTGTGTTACATTTCTGAAGTGACAAAAAAAATGAGACAAGTTACTAACAAGTCCAGTGTTGGATGGGAGAGAGAGAGTCTGTACAGTTACAACTCATCATACAAGTTCATATTGGCTTTACCATGTACATAAACGGAGCAGGGATAAACGATAATAAACAACGTGTCGGCGTAGCAGAGGATAGCAAATGAATGAATGAAGGAAGAGGAGGAGCTGGACAGACCAGTGAAAAGAGTGAGAAGTGAAGGTGGAGATGAAAAATATAATTGAAGAGACTGAAGTTTGTAGCAAGACGAAGAGAGGGAGGGAAGGGTTAGTTAAATGGGTGAAAGGAGTCAGTGCATGTCCAGTACTTGTCAACAGTGCGGAACAGAGACGTGACCTACAACCCAGGTGACGAAGAGGATAAACGTAAAAGTAATAAGTGACGTCAGTGAGGAAAAAAAAAAGGGAAGAAAGACAAGGTAAAGACAATACAATAAATAGGTCAAAGAACATCTTACCGAGTTATCTATGTCGTTGGTGAGGATGTTGGAGGTGGTGGTGCGCTCCAAGACCTCCCGTAGCTTGGTGTTGTCGATGTGATCCACTTCTGTTACCTGCCCCAAGAACCATCTCAGTGTAAACATCGTTCCTTTAAGATTTTAGTCACTTGTGTATGTAATAATTATTAAGAAAATGTATGCGTAAGATTTCATTACAGTATTGTACTAATTATTCTTTATTTAATTTATATATAAATATATATTAGTTAATTTAACTATTTATGAATGTATTTGCTACTTTTTTTTCTGTCAGGACGATCATACATTCGACATTATATTTTTCTTAAAGGGTTTGAGGTAATATATGAACGTTGGTTGTTATTATTTGCCTCTATTTACACCTATCTCTGTCTCTCACACTCACCGTCATCACCTGCTGCAGGAGAGGGTGAGCACTGGGGCATTTTTGACCAATGAAATCAGTCATACTGTTCCCTGTCACCAACAGCACCTGGTCCATCTTCGTCACCAACTCCGTCATCAGCTTCATCTGGGTCACAGAAGGTCAAATAAGGTCATGCAAAATCCTGTAACCTCACCTAACCTATGTACCCTAACCTATGTAACCAAACCTATGTAACCCAATTTATGCAACCTAACCTACGTAACCCAACTTATTTAACCCAACCTATGTAACCCTACCTATGTAACCCTACCTATGTAACCTAACCAATGTAACCTAACATATGTAACCTGACCTATGTAACCTGACCTATGTAACCTAACCTATGTAACCTGACCTATGTAACCTAACCTACATTGCTGTACTTGCCCTAATCTAAAGAGGTAGATAATGAAACACACACACACACACACACACACACACACACACACACACACACATACACACTATTCTCAACTTACGGTCTTGGTGATGTAGTTCGTCATAAGCTTGAGGTTGGCAAGTCCTTGTGCATGTTGGTTAACCTGGTCACACATGGGGGTCTCACACGTCTCCCATGAGTCACGATAAAGGGCCTCGCTCCCCTCCCACGACTCAGAATGATCATTTACACTTGGCCACCTCTCCTGCTGGACCAACACACCGCCTACACCCACCCACACACCTACCACCAGCAGGAAGGAAGATAGCCTGTGAGGGGAGCCCAGACCCAAGCGCGCCATATTTTTATATCTATAAAGAAAAGGATTTTTTTTTATTGATTATGCATGATCTGAAAATAAGAGTTATTTTTTTGTAGGATAATTGTAAGTAATTAGAAGCTTCGCTGAGTATGACAATTATGTTTTGTTTCTGTATTGGGTATAATGAGACAAACCACACACACACACACACACACACATACACACACAGAGGAGAGCAAGAGAGTTAAGTTACTGCACCAATACAACGTATACACTTTTCCTAGAAGAGGTGGGTCAGGGAGGGAGGAGGGAGGGGAAGGGGAATAGAGGAGGGAGGGGATGGGAAGGGGGTTGATTGACGTTGAACGGCCTAGTTATGCAAGATTGACCTCGACATACATGATAAGCTGTTTACTGTTTACAAGCGAGGATAAAAATAACCTACTTTAGTTTTGAGGACAGGTTGATGTGTACTGAGTTATGAAGAGCTGCCAGAAGAATATATTAGAATTAAGGTATAAAAGTCGTGCTCCTGACAGTACCTCCCAGAACACCTTTGTATCTTGTTCTGTAGTAGTATAGATGATTAAAATATCCTTAATAACAGGAACTTAATATATGTGAGACCTGTACCCAAGAGAAACGATTGTCATTACATATAAAATTCACCGTAAAGGAATAGCCCAAGTCTTGCTGTGACGTGTAACTTCTGAGTTGGTGTATGAAAGATATACAGATTTTTTGACCAGCGAGGAATATGACAGTCTGATGTCCAGTGTTGCAAATCTCGACTGTGTGTGTAATATATGTTTGTAGGTAAAAGATCAAAAGTCTATTCCACAAGCACCGACAAACAAACCAGCAGACCGTAAGACTGGCGAGTTTGAGTATTTCAGACATGAGGGACTGCAGCTTGAACACATAAACTCAAGGTCATTGCTACCAAAGATGTCGGAAGTCAGAATTCCAGCTTCTAAAAGTGGGACTGTCGTAGACTCCATCCAAGAGTAGTGGCAAGATGACTCAATCACGGAAGGGAAAATCAAAAGAGAAGGTTACAATGTATTGTACAACGTCTCGACAGGACTAAACATGGCGGTGTTTGTGGTTATACCTTGGCTTACAATCTCAGATCAGACTTACACGGTGATCATCTGGAGGGCTTATGGCTGTAAATATTGTTACCCAAAACTAAACCCAGCCTGTACTTCCCATTCAAATGATAGTCAGCTTGTGGAACACTATGTTAGAATATTATCATATATCAGGACCAACTGTGAAACAATAATACGGGGTGACTTTTATGTGTAGCGTGTATACGTGCCGTGCAGGGTCCTTAAAAAAAAAAAAAAACATTCGTTATTCGAAGCTTTTCGCGCGAGGGCTTAATGAACTCATAATATCACCAAGGTTACCTTGGCGACGAGGTGTTACGTCGGAAATTGAGGTAGAATATCGCCTTCATTTGTTTGAGTGGACGCCTAACGGTGAAGTATCAGTTGTCAAGGTAAATAAAAGAGGAAAGTAGAGCAATTTATCAGATATATCCATAAGTGGTGACCGTGAGCTACCCACCATAAAACACCGGGTAATATAGTGAAGGAACACCAGGACCAGCTCACAGTAGTATATAAGAGAAACAGGTAATGGTGAATGAGAGAAAATTAGTGACCTGGTAACTAGAGCATCACAGGTCACCTCGGTGCCATTCCGTCATTAAGTCGTAAATTTTTAGTGTATTACAATAACGGTCACAGTGATAGTTGCACCCCGAAGTGCCCAGCTATACACCCCATATACCCCTCCACCTCTACCACTACTGGAACACATGTATATTTAGGGCTAAAAATGTGTTTACCCAGAAGCTGTACAAAACTCATAATTCAGGAAAGACAGCTTCCGTCACCAAAGAAAGATAGCATAACGTGTAACTGTTATTAGTTCAGCTTAGAAAATCAGAATTTCCCCTCCGCGACGGTGCCAAGTGTTGGTCGACGGTGCCATATTTAGAAGGTAATCGCACATCCAAAGAAAAAAAAAATAATGACTCGAAGTACCTGTGGTTCCTGCAATGAGCCCTCAAAGAAAGCTTAGGAATAACTGAGGAGCTATTAAGATTTTGAAGTTTACGAATGCATCTCAGGTGCTGACAATAAGACTGCCATGTTTTTTATTTTTTTCCACAGAATGTATGGAACAGGTTAAGGGGTTATTTAAGACTATAGGGAGCATGAAAGCAAGATACACAAACTTGATAATGAACAAGATAAACTTAAGCAACATATAACAGATCTCCAGAATTCAGTGCAGGAAGAACTGAACGACTTACAGGATATCATGGCTAAAACATCACCTACAGTGGATCAGACTGATAATATGACAGTTAGGGTTAACGTACCACAAAATCTTCGAGATGGGGTGCGTGAACAAGCAGAGATAAACAAACGCAGAGACAACCTCAATATAAGGAATTTGGTGAAGAAGGAAGAAGAAACAGACGAACAATCAAACAGATGGTGAGAAATGTTGTCGACTTTGTAGGCGAGTTGCACATCACAACCGAGGAGACTTAATAAACGCACAGTGCAGTTAGTGAGGATCATCATCCCTAAACACGAGCACAGGAGAGATATCCTACAGAAGGAACAGAACCTCAAGTGTATAATAATGTGTACATGATCCCCGACCTGACAATTCGCTAACAAAAACAAAAAAACGGCAAATAGTTCAAAGACAAACTGAAAGAACTACGCAGCGACCCACCATTGCTTGAATCGGTTAATTTCCTGGTGGCCAACTACTAGCGTCATTACGGCCGTACCCACAATATGAAGATGCTCAACTAAAGATCAGAAGTGGCAAAGTAGTCAGGGTACAGGAAGAGGGGGGACGTCGAGGTAGTGTACTGTACCAGCCTTCCCACTAATAGGGGCAGGTAAATGCTGTAACTTTAAGCAAAGGACCATACTGGCGGCTTTGTTGTCTATCCTTGGTCAAATTTTCTTACTGTTTACCTATGCTGTTTACCTACACTGTTTACTGTGGGTACATACATACTGTACATTGAAAACTGTATACTGTACCTCCACGGTCTATGTACTGTACTACGTACAATCAAAGACAAAAGTCGTATCGCGGTTTTGTCCGAAGATTAAATATAACTCGTGAAACATTATGAGAGCCCCCTACCACAAGGCAGAGCGCACCAAAAGTTTAGCCCCTCGGCATATGTTTTCACCAAATTTCAAGACACGACTTTCGTCATTCATTGTTGTACATCGTATAGCTGCGTTATCTATACATATGTTGAACTGTACACCTGCGGAGTTTATATTCATTTGAAGCCCATTGTAAACATGTACGATGATTTTACTGAATAAATATTATTATCAATGTTATTCCTCACATGTTTATGCCTGGACGTTCCTGCTTGACACAGTCGCTGGTGGTGCTTGGTGTGTGGTCATAGATTGTAGAACGCGGTAGTTATGTTGATAATAGATATCTCAACTTTGTCAAGACATTTGATATTGTATCTCATGACAGATACAGAATACAGTGTAAGTCCGAGCTTGGATAGGTGACTTTGTGACGTAGTAAACAATGCGTGGTGGTTAAGTGACACGAAATCGTCAAGTGTACCTGGGGCAATAGTGTGCTAGAACAGGTGTTTTCCGTCTTTCACAAATTATATGCCAGACGTTGTTTACTCTTCAATTCAAATGTTTGTTAATGGCGCTAAGTTATTCAGCGAAATGATAAACTTAGTAAACTAAAAAGCATTGTAGGTCGATCTCGATCACCATCAAGCTTGGTTATAAGAATGTACAGTACAGTATGTTGAAATGGAACGTCGCGAAACACAAAAAGATGGATCTTGGTGGTACTAACTGTTAGGAAGTATATCACATGTCCCAGTAAGACAAAGGCATTTTCCTTACTGTAACTACTGTAGACGTGAGTAAGATGCATCTCTTAAGTGCAGTGCTGCCTTTTACTTACCAACAGCTGCACCTACTGTACTTGTCACCTCAACTGGTAAACACTCATGAAAGATCACTGTTAACAAATCCTTACTTGTATGAAGCAGAATCGTCGTTGACGTGTGCGGTGGTGGTGTGAGGCGCTGGGCTGGTCTGGTCTTTATACTGGTGACACGCCTGCTCTCCTCTCACCAGGACACTGAGGGCTCCTTGTCTGTGTCCGAGGGGAGAGGGAGGGAGAGAGGAGGGAAGCCGACTCTCCTTGTTGCTGTGGAGGAGGAGGGGGAGGAGGAGAATTTAAACGCCCGTATAATTAAACAACATCTTCCCTTGAAGAGGGTCGTCGTGTTTCAACCCGAGTTTTAAACTAAATGAGTCCTGAGGGACACCGCAGTACGGTACTTAGCGGGGTGGTGTGGCGAGGGGCTAGTTTATTGGGCATTGGGCACCCCCTTTTATCTTGTGCAAGGTGAAGCGCAAAAGCGTTTACAGCGCCTATCTGGGAAGCGGAGGAGGATGTGTTAACTGTAATCTTCGATAATGTAGGTCATCCGTATATGTGCCCACTGGGAGTACTACCCGCTGCTTTAAACTACCTGCATCAACGTTCACTTGTGTTTAAAATCCTTGTGTGTTGGGAGTTCTTGTTCGAGTAAATAAATACGTTATCGGCGTGAATTTGTTTTAAAGTTAATATGTCCTGGATATTCGATTGTTAATATAAATCTACCCTGTACACGTGTAGCTCCTTCATGTGTAGACGCAGTAGTATAGATGTATACTGTATACCTTCAGTCACTGCCAGTAAGATAATTGGGTCAAGGCCTCAGAACGGAGGGGGCATGGGGAGAGAGGGGCAGTTGGGTCAGGTACTGTATAATTATCTACTTGGCCGCCATCAATACCGGTCACCCAATGTCATTCCGGTGAAGCCTTATCACTCGTGTACAGCTTTTGTGGTGTGTGTGTGTGTGTGTGTGTGTGTGTGTGTGTGTGTTCCACGAAACTGTTTGGCTCAGACGATCGAAGGTCACTCGTCGTCAACTGGAGAGGAAAAAAATAAAACACAACAGACATAAAAGATTTATTTCAGTTTGAGTATAAAGAGATCAAGTTGAAACTCCGTGAAATATGAAGTTCAAATAAAACATTTTTGTAGATAATATAATCTGTTTTAGAATACATTTCTAAAGGAGATTTCTTATTTACGAAAAGTTTACTTAAACAGCAAAGATACGAACGTTCAAAACTGAAGCATGAATTGAGTACACGGTAATATTTTTTGAACATTCAGTTTTGTGTTCAGGAACAAACCTCCATATAACTGATTTTTACATATGTTTGTATAACACGAAGATATCACAAACAATACATATCATCATTTTGATATACAGCGAACCATATACCTTGTCGTGTTGTTAATAGTTTCATATACACATGGATTCTGTTACAACAGTGTAGGACGGGAACACAACGGTAGACAACGATAAGCAAAAGTAAAAGACACTTAGAGTACACTGAAGTGATGGTGAAGTAAACTGGTACCCTGTTGTCAAAAGTAACAAGTAATCATTTACAGAACGACAGAATCCGAGTGACTGAATTGCTACTCACAGAGAGGCGGGTTGCAGTGTTAACAAACATGGCGCGCTACAGAGGAAATCACAATTTCTGATGAAGATAAAAAGGATTTTATTTTTGTTACAATTAAGGCTGTTAAGCTCCATAAGTTTTCTTTTAACTATAACTCATCTACCAGTGGGAACAAATCAATTAATCAGACGCCGTCGTTAGGCAAATGAACACCTTTTGTCTCGTATCTGACAAAGGGGGACCAGTCTAGGTGTTGAAGGCCACAACATCAATATTGATTTTGATTTGATTCTTTCGAGATATAAATTATAAGTTTATATCTGTTGATAATGGACACTGGGATGAATTTAGTATTGTAAGCTTGTACGGATATTTTCTTCACCCTTAATTCTAATATTATGATCAAAACATAATAATATTTATTTAGAATGATAATCTAAACAAATAGTTAGGCTAATAAATAGTTTAAATAGCTTAAATAGTTAAAATAGCAACTAAAATCATGTAATCCTTCTAATAATCAGATTTAATTACGCCCCTAAAAAGTTCTAAGTAACAAAAAAAAAGTTATCTAAATTTTCACTCTGGTTTATCTTTCTGTATATTAGAATAAAGTATCAATCCATTTTATTTGACGAGTTAATTTTTTTTAGCACCATCGTCTCCAAATCTTATATTGAACATGTTGAACATCACCTAATGGATACCTTGTATGGTTAAGCAGCCCTTGATAGCGTCAAGTCCACTCCTTTACTCCCAAGCTACGCGCCTAAACCAGTTGGGGGATAAATACATTACTGTACATACGATCCCGTTTAAGTCTTTGTTTATAGAGGTGACTTAAAGGATCCCGTGCCTTATAAAGTAGTCCTTTTACTCTTTAGGTCCTGTTTACTTTCGTTGTTTAAAAGAGTTGAATTGTCTCGTGCCTTATAAAACGACCTCTTTAACTCTCATTTCTAGATAAGTAAACAAAACTACACCTTCATAACATTTCAAAAAATATATCTGAACTAACCATCTGTAAACAACTATTAAGGAACATAGATCTGCTTCAGTAGCTATATTAATTCCTTAAGTTTTAGGGTACCTACTACTTTAAACCCTAAACGTGGACAGATTCATCTTTAAAACCTAAATTCGTTCAGTTTATTATACATTGAAAGACACCGTTCCTTTAATGTCTTTCCTTACCATTATTTTCCTAAGAGATTCATTTTAAGAATTGGGATCACGTGAAGATTAGCCTGAGGTTTTGGTTAGGTTAGGTTAGGGTGTGAAATAAGTTGAGGTGTCTAGTTTTCAAGTGATCCTAAAACAATACAGTGCAGTATATATATATATATATTATTGATATGAAAATAATCTATTAGAATTTATTACATCATCACACAGAAGATTTCTAAATAACATCGTTTCATAAGTAAAGAATCAAACCGTTCAAGAATCAGACGAACCAAAACACGAAACGTTTATTAATCGATAATTTGATACAAGGGAATCAAAATAAAATTCCCAGATTATAAATGAATATACAGTATAAGAAAGTTTGGGTTTCCTTCTTCATGACCTTTTATTTTATTCTATTATATACGCAGTCTAACTTAACCCAGAAACGACGGCTGTGTCTTTGGGTACATTAATCTGCCTTGACGGGGGAGATATGTCGGTTTTTCTGCCTTGACAGGGGAGATATGTGGGTTTTTCTACCTTGACGGGGGAGATATGTGGGTTTTTCTGCCTTGACAGGGGAGATATGTCGGTTTTTCTGCCTTGATGGGGGAGATATGTGGGTTTTTCTGCCTTGACGGGGGAAATATGTGGGGTTAGTCCTGGTTAACCTTGTTTTGTTTCGGAGTTAAACATTATATGAGAATCAACATGAAGTTACCGGCCGCATAACGACTGATGTGAAATATTTTGTTTTCTAAGTTTAAGTAAAATAATTAAGATTGTATCATTGTTTACTTTGCATCCTTGTTTACATTGTGTCTGTTTACATTACTGTATATCCCTGTTTATATTGTGTATTTGTTTACATCGTATCATTGTTTACATTGTGTCTGTTTACATTACTGTATATCCCTGTTTATATTGTGTATTTGTTTACATCGTATCATTGTTTACATTGTATCCTTGTTAACATTGTGTCTTTGTTTACATTTTCATTGTTTATAATGCCTCTCTGTTTTGATATTGTTGAACTTTGATTAAAATTCATTTGTTTGAGTCCATTAACACACAAAGTAGATCACTACACCTTAATAAGTATTCTTCACTAATTTTTTTGGGATTGTATGTTGAATGATGAGGACTGAACACCATAATGTCAACAAAATGATTAATTCACACCAGATCAGGTCACAACAGCGTCTTGGGAAGGGTTATCAGAGACATATTGTGCAAGAATTAGGGATTGAGTGAACTTACGACAGCGCATTTCATCACGTTATTTTATATATTATACTGTATATATCTATGTATTTATATAACATTTAACAACTAAAAGACCTAATACACATAACAATCACCTGGCCGAGTATGTAACAGGAGTAATAGCAAGTTATTGTTTATTTAATCATATATAAAGTTGATTGTCTGAGGATCTACCCATGTTTGTACAGTCGATGTAAACATTTAAGATTCCCACCTGCAGCACCTACGGGAAGCTATATAGTCTTCTACAGTAAACGCCCCAATTTTAGTCTTTTATCTACAGAAACTACTTTAAAAACCAGACGTCTTAAGACTTTATGTATGGTCTTTATCTACAGGACATGAAATCACCGAGGGTATATCTCTTTTTATCTTACTCGATCTGTTGTAAGTTCGTAAGTTTCCTTCGTCGGGTTGAGGTGATCATGAGTGACTGACACACACACACGCATACACACACACACACACACACACACACACACACACACACACACACACACACATACACACACACACACACACACGATCAACCAGTTCTAATGTGGACGGTACCAATAGTTGAATGTCGGCATTTATTCAGCTATCTGAGGTCTGATGGTTTAACTCAAAGGTCCTTCAGGTCTGTTGATTTCATTAATTTCCATCGAGTTGTTATGTGATGGAGGCATAAGTGTGTAGTGACTGTATCTGTAAGCCTTCTGGGGTGAGGGCTATTGAAGTAAGAGGTAGTGGAGTAGAATGATGGATGAGGGGGTGGAGGGAAGCGGGGAGAGGAGGTGTGTCTGGAGGGGGTGGAGGGAAGCGGAGAGGTGTGTCTGGAGGGGGTGGAGGGAAGGGAGGGAGGGTGGGGGAGAGGTGTGTCTGGAGGTGGAGGGAAGAGTGATTCTGGAGGGGTGGAGGGAAGCGGGGAGGTGTGTCTGGAGGAGATGGAGGGAAACGGGGAGAGGTGTGTCTGGAGGAGATGGAGGAAACGGGGGGAGGGTGTCTGGAGGGGTGGAGGGAAGCGGGGAGAGGTGTGTCTGGAGGAGGTGGAGGGCGGGGAGAGGTGTGTCTGGACGGGGTGGAGGGAAGGGGAGAGGTGTGTCTGGAGGGAGTGGAGGGAAGGGAGAGGTGATTCTGGAGGAGTGATTCTGGAGGGAGGGAGGAAGGGGAGAGGTGTGTCTGAGGGGGTGGAGGGAAGGGGGAGAGGTGTGTCTGGAGGGGTGGAGGGAAGGGGGAGAGGTGTGTCTGGAGGGGGTGGAGGGCGGGGAGAGGTGTGTCTGGAGGGGTGGAGGGAAGCGGAGAGAGGTGAGTCTGAAGGGGGGGGGGAGATGGATGTGACGACTGGTGTCCCACAGCAACGGTATTCTCAAGATAAAAAGGCCTGAAGGAAGGTTCTGCGTCCAATAATTACGTTTATGAGAGTTCTAGAGTTGTAAGCTACTGGTTCAGCAGTTCTGTTCGTAGCATTTTTTAACAGTGACCATTTTGTTACAAGACGATGAAACAGTATGATAAACGTTTTGGTCCAGCAAAACGGTAGTTCAACGCCTCTAGCGGATAATGAACCCGGCGCCAACATGCCACACAAAGACAGACCCTCACAAAAGCGCCTTTACGTATTATGTTTTGAAATCTGTATTGTTTAATCAAAGATAAAGTCTGTGTTTATTATAACAACTATCTCTTAAGTTATATTTTCAAACTGAGGATAATAAGTTCATTGAGTCAGCGAAGCAAGTTTATGTCCACTATAAAGTGAACACTGGAATTAAATGTTTGTTGGAAACATAGACGAATATTTTTAAGCACGAGAAGAAGGAACCATAACATATTAGAGGGAATTAAATACCTATAATAACAGCAATGAACTGGTGTAATGACATTGTTGTTTGCTCCTGACGATGAATGATGTACTAAGGGCTGAGTTGTATCTTCTAAAACCAAATCTACTTTGTCTCTGATCAGACGACTTATGTTGATGTGAGATGAAGGAATTGATGTCGTTTGCTTAATGAAAAATGACATGTTGATGAGTTGTCGACCTACTGGTGACTGAGAACCTCCAGATTAATAACAATAGCTCGACGAGGAATGATTGTTTATGGACACCAAGGAGACAGGTGTCCTTAAGTGAACATTAACTGTAAAACAATGTAGGGAGCTTCCTCGGTGACCAGTGTGTGCTAGGAGACAGAACCACTCGTCAACAAGCAGGTACAAAAACCGCGTTGACAGACGAGTATCATATTGAGACGACCTTCTATACTGTGTCGACGAGGTGGTAGGTGGGCGGTGGTAGATGGGTGGCGGTGATAGGTGGGTGGTGATGGTTTTTGGTGGTGGTGGTAGGTGGTGATGGTAGTTGGGTGGTGGTAGGTGGGTGGTGGTGGTGATAAGCGGTGGTGGTAAGTGGATGTTGGTAGATGGGTGGTGGTAGGTGGGTGGCGGTGGTAAGTGGGTGGTGGTGGTAAGCGGTGGGTGGTAAGTGGATGTTGGTAGATGGGTGGTGGTAGGTGGGTGGTGGTGGTAAGTGGATGTTGGTAGATGGGTGGTAGGTGGGTGGTGATAGGTGGGTGGTGGTAGGTGGGTGGTGGTAGGTGGGTGGTGGTAGGTGGTAGGTGGGTGACGGTGGTAGGTGGGTGGCGGTGGTAGGTGGGTGGTGGTGGGTGGTGGTAGGTGGGTGGCGGTGGTAGGTGGGTGGCGGTAGTAGGTGGGTGGTGATAGGTGGATGATGATAGGTGGTGGCAGTAGGTGGTGGTGGTGGTAGGTGGGCGGTAGTAGGTAGTTTGTCGTGGGCGGTACACAGTATAGGTCTACTTGTTGATGGGTGAGAGCTTGATGGTTGATCTAGTCCTGCGGGTGGCATGGGCGGGCGGGGGTGGGCGGTTGAGGCTGTGCCGACCCATCATGGGCGAGGGCAGGTCACGGATGGAGGGGGACGAGTTCTTGCGTGGGGGCGTCGCCAGTCCTACACCATCTTCGTCAGGTACCCACTCCTGCAGGGCAACGTGGTGGAATTAATCTAACTGGACAATATCATTAACACCTTTCTCAAACAAGAACCTGACTCACAAGTTCATATTCCTACAGTATAACTAGTAAGAGAAAACCTACTTTGACAATTCGATACCAAATTCTGTTTCATCATGGCTGTTTTTATTTATTTATTTTTCTGCATGTAATATTCTTTGTGTATAAAATGAATCAGTTAAAACGTATTAAAACAAATAAGATTGAGGGAGGATAAGCCAGTATGGTTTCTATTGTTTCTCATCAAGTAAACAATATCACCAGTTACCACAGTACAGTTCTGTCGCGGTTCTCTGTGAAGAACACGGCCTCATAGACACACCATTAATAAAGGGATGCATCACCTCACACTTATAAGGGAATTCCGGGACAATGTATTGAATTAGGAGCTAAACCTCACCTGTACGGCTTCAGCGCCTCCCTCTGAGCGGAAAGTGACCAGCTTGGGTGGCGGAGTTAACGCCTGGCGAAGGGCTAGACTCTCACTTGCCACTGAGGCCAAGGAACGCAGAGAGAGCGAGGAAGATGAGGCCGCTAGAGCGTTTTCGACGGTGACGATGGCGTGGGCTGGAGGCGGGGACTGGGAGATCTTCCTGGGGGCAGTGTTGAGGGTAATGCGAGGCTGAGACATCTCCAGGGCGGGGTTGGCCGGCTGATACACCGTCATCTCCTCGTCGCCCGCCGACACACTCGCTCGCCGCACCTCGAACTTGTTGCCATTGTCGTCTCTCCGGAGACCAGACGGCGGCGGCGACCCGATGAATCGACCCGACTCCAGTGAACTCACCTGTGAGTAATACTAGGTTAGAACGGCTTAATGCACTGCTATTTTTAAGGTACATTTATGTAAATGTTTTAAGAAATGTTGAAACGAATCCCGGAGTGGAAAAAAAAATGTCTCTTGTGATTTGTGTTAATCACTTCCCGCCAAAATATTTCAACTGGTATTTCTGGAGAAACTGTTGTTGATTATTGATTAAAACTATTTTACAAGAACCGGTGATAAGAAAAAATAGAAAAGGCTAAACACATTGTAAATGGTACACACACGAGGGTGAGGGTGAAGGTGACTTAAGAAGGCCTAACACACTGAGACTCCCCCGGCATCTAAACTTAGAAAACAAATGAAGGTTTGTTATATGAGTTGGCTGGAATTTCGGAGCCTTAAGCATTCCTGTGCACTTTTTCACATTAATCTAACCTAACTAACCTAACCTAACCTAACCTAACCTAACTAAGATAAGATAACCTAACCTAACCTAACCTAACCTAACCTAACTAAGCTAACCATTAAGGGGTTGATGGGCAGTCCTTATGGGCACCAATTCTAATGGACCCCGGTTATAAATGGGCCCCTGTCGCCCTCGAGTGAGTACTACTGTATTGTCACTCTTAAGTAACTGAGATGAATTGGAAGACACTCACTTAATGTACTTGTACTTATAAACGTATAAATATCACCTTTACAATTCTCACTTCTTCTTTCTGCCATTTACTATATTTTCTCCTTCTTCTGTTCTTCTTCTATTTCCTAACTATGATTACCTCCTCCTCTTCCCCTTCCTCTTCTTCTCTTCTCTTTTTCCCTCCAAAATATTATACTCTTTCTTCTCCTTCACTTAATTGTTCTCTCTCTCTCTTTTACTTCTGTATTGTCTCCATTATTTTCCTCCTCCCTCACTTCCTTCTCTCTCCTTCCTTACGTTCCTTCTCTGTATCCCTTCTCTTCCCCCCTTCTTCCTTTTATCTCCTCCCTCACTCTTTCCCCCCTTCTTCCTTTTCTCTCCTCCCTCATTTCATTCTCCCTCCTCTCTCCTCCCTCACTTCCTTCTCTCTCCTCAATTACTTCCTTTTTTCTCTTCCTCACTTCTTTCTCACTTCCCTTTGACATTTTTCTCTCTCTGTTGACCTGACCTGTGACCTCTGACCCTGGATTCGTCTGAGGGTCACTAAAACTGTGTAATGTCTTCAACGTTTCGATATTATTTACATAACAATGATGACATGATTTATTTATAATTTTTGACACACACACACATACATACACATACACATACATACATACACACACACACACACACATACATACACACACCTCACACTCTCTCTCTCTCCCATCTCTGTTTGCCTGTCTCTCCCTTTCTCTATCTCTCTGTCTTCCTCTCTGTCTGTCTATATTTATGTCTGTCTGTCTGTTTCTCTCCCTCACAGCTGTTAAGGCTTGACGTACCGGTATGACAGGGCTGCGAGGCTTCTGTTCCAGGGGAGGGAGGGACCGTGGCTTACGTCTGTGTTCCTCTCCTCCAGTTGGGCGTCCACCTCCCATCACATGTCCCTCTGTCACCAACCTGTGTGGGAGGGAGGGGGGGCGGCTAAGACACGATGAGTGAGAGAGAGAGAGAGAGAGAGAGAGAGAGAGAGAGAGGACTGCCAACCACGTAATAATTATGTATGACAATAAAACGACTGAAGAAATAAAAAAAAAAAATATCGCGCCATAGGGTCGTTTTACTTTGTTCATTGTGAGTCAGTGAGTTAGTGGGTCATAGGGCCGTTTGACTCAGCTAAAACTTCACATCCTCACGGACTCCTTGAGGTAAGGGGTGGTGATTACAAGACACGTGACGCAGGGGAGGTGTTTTACCTGTGTGTGCTTCAGGTACGTGGAGTAATTAGCCAAGTTTAGGGATGGATAAAGGTAATTAAGTAACTCCCAGCAGCGTCGTATGTTAAGGGTGTGCTGTAGGGACGGTGTGTGGTGCTACTGTGACTGTTATTTTAATGTGCTCAAGTTCTTCAATAACTTATGTGTTTAAGCCCAAATAACATTTATCACTTATACGCTGGACAAAATTTACTTTAAAATTTGACATAACATAACATAACATAGCAACATAGCATAACATAGCAACATAACATAATATAACATAGCAACATAACATAACATAGCAACATAACATAACATAACATAGCAACATAGCAAACCTAACATAACGTAACATCACTAACGTCTATAAACACAGGTAACATGATATCAGATTCTACTCCGGATAACAAGTAATATAATGCTGTTGTTGTATTAATGTATGGCGGAGCTACAACACCTAAGGTCTAGACAATTACTATAAAAAACGAAGATACGTTTTTTAATAGCTAAGGTCATTAAAATCGCTTAGGAAATATATTTTTTTATATTTGTAAATAACAGTGAGTATCAGAGAAGTATATTGTAGTTAATTAATTTATCTTAACAGCTGAGGTCTTTATGCGCCACACACAAAGTCAGCTTCTACACTCACCAACATTGTCTAGACACCATGAAAGCCACGAAACTTGTTATATTATGTCCTTTTTTTATTTAATGTATATATCAAGTATTTAATAATAGTTAATGGACCTGGAGATAATAATACAATGATTGTTTACAAAAGGGTTGTACTGTACCTAAACAAAACATATGTGTTTCTCTATACAGGAGGAGAGCTTGGTCACGTCCAGAGCAATACAAATCCTGTGTGTGTCAAAACGTGTTTCTTTTTCCATATTTTCAAAGAATTTTTGAAGTCCAAACAATAACAAATGCCTTTCATCTTGCTTTCATGATGTCATCAAAGACACATGAACCTGTAATTTTTATCGACTTCGATTTTGCATTAATACGATACTGTGGATGGATACAGAAGACAAGAGAATGTATGAGAGTGGAAATATAATCTTTAAAGAAATCACAATGTGTATAGTAAGCAAAGAAAAGATATGATATTAATTTTAGATATAATGCAATGTGAAAAGTATTGGATCGTTTATTGGAGACGGTGTTTTTCATCTCGTAGATTGAAGGCGATGTTCATTTGTTATTTGTAAGTCTAAATTATATAATTTATACCAGTATGTCTTCCCTGGTCGCCATTTAAGAATTTGTAAGGCCGTAAATTGAATTCACTTCTTTTACCTCAATTAAATCCTTGACAATAGTTTGAGCGTGGTAAAAAAAAATAATACAAGGACTATAAAAGTCTATAAAGAAACTAAGAAGATTTTTACTAACCCATAAGAAAAAAAAGTGTAGAAGGCAAATCATATAATACATAACAAATCTACGGTCACCAACATCTATATTTCAAGCAACTTTCCAAAATGGTTCTTTATTTTTAGTACTAACCCCTTGACCTTTCGTAACGGGGCGACCTAAATATTTCCAAGTGCTATATTTTGACCCAACAACACACTCGTGAAGACTGTCTGTCAGAATCTTTTATTAATTATAAGATGTGAGACGTCCAAATAAAAGCCACAAAGACTTAAACAAAAGTTGAGAATATGGAAGAAAATATTCGGCCATTGTCTGCAGAAGAGAGACTGACCAACAGGTGAGTGAGGCAGGTGAGAGGGAGAGGTGAGTGAGGCAGGTGAGTGGGAGAGGTGAGTGTGACAGGTGAGTGGGAGAGGTGAGTGTGACAGGTGAGAGGGAGAGGTGAGTGTGACAGGTGAGAGGGAGAGGTGAGGAGGCAGGTGAGAGGGAGAGGGAGTGAGGCAGGTGGAGTGGGAGAGGTGAGGGAGGGCAGGTGAGGGGAGAGGGTGAGGTGACAGGTGAGAGGGAGAGGTGGAGTGAGGCAGGTGGTGTGGACAGGTGAGTGTGACAGGTGAGAGGGAGAGGGAGGAGGACAGGTGAGTGGAGGGAGTGGGAGGGGAGGTGGACAGGGTGAGGGAGGTGAGTGTGGACAGAGGGAGAGGTGAGGGAGAGGAGGGACAGGTGAGTGAGAGGAGACAGGTGAGTGGGAGAGGTGAGTGTGACAGGTGAATTGGGAGAGGTGGAGTGTGACAGGTGAGAGGAGAGAGGAGGTGACAGGTGAGTGGGAGAGATGAGTGCGGTAAGGTGAGAGGGAAGTCTTACTACTATCTCCTCAATACTCAAATATTTACTTGTTTAAATGTCGAACCGAGTGGGGGAAGGAAGGTCAGGGCGGGAGTGAAGGAGGGAGGGAGAGAGGAAGGAGACAAGGAGGAAAGGCGTGGGGGAGAGGAGGAAGAAAGAAAGGAAGACAAGAGGGAGGAAGAAGAATGAGGTAGAGATGAAGAGAGAGGAAAGAAGGTGTGGTTGGGGGGGGGTTAGAATGGGAGGGAAAAGATAGATGAGAAATAAAGGGAGGAAGGGAAGAGAGGGAGAATAGGTAGGGTGAGATAGAGATACAGAGAGAGGGAGGTAGAGAGGGATAGAAGAAGAGAGGGATGAGAAGTGAGAGAGGGTGAGGAACGATACAAATGAAGATGGAAACGAGGAAAGTCTAATCTTACTTCCGGGTCACAATATAAACCGAAAAATCCCTCAAAGCGTAAATTAACTCTTCCCCACCGAAAAAAAAATATATATCTAAGGTCAAATGTAAAGTGGCAACCTAATTGGATTATAATCATGCGTAAATTAAATAAAATAAAATTAAGATATTTGAAATTATTCGTACGTTCTGGATTAATGTTCTCAACTTATGAAGGACCTCACACATCATCAAATAGGGACAAGGTTGTGCAAGCATTCCAGCCATCTCCATGATAGTAGTGAGGCTCTGTGTATAAGTTTAATTTAAGACACAAATTAATCCATGAAAAATAAGCAATCTTAAGTGAATCTAAATCTCCTTTTTTGGATTAGTATACATTCATGAATCCTTCAGTAATCCGGTCGGAGTAATTCCTTCACCTTCACAAGTTCAGACAGCCTCAGGAAGGGAGGGGAGCAAATCCTTTAATCTGTTTAAGTTATGTATAAAATTACAGACCCGGAGTGATTTAATCGTAAGTTATAATAAGAGTTCTCAAGCTTAACTTAGGGTTAATGTGTGTGTGTGTGTGTGGGTGTGTGTGTGTGTGTGTGTGTGTGTGTGTGTGTGTGCGTGAGTGTGTGTGTGTGTGTGTGTGTGTGTGTGTGTGTGTGTGGATATATAAGTATTTACGTATCAGTTAAAATAATAAAAATAAACAAAGTATGCTGCTGACAACTAGACACACAGAAAATAACATCTTACCTCACATGTAGACGACAATAAACAGACACAGTTTAATAGTAGTTGAGAGAGATATATTATTAAGTAAGATAAGATCACACCATGCAATACAAACACAGTGTCAAGGCGAAGATACATCACCGACACATCAATGACACACACATCATTGATACAGCTGAGACATCGTTAAAAATAATGACAAGATGAAGAATGATGCCAGTCACACTACAGTACCCAATATTCTACAGGTCTTTTCCTCGTGAGATAAGTGAATGTAAATTTAAGTTCTGTAGAATATCGTTCTGTTAACCCGTGTGCTCGTTACCTACACTAACGCTATGTTTATGTTGTTCTAAGGAGGCTGGGTAGGTACAGTGCTCACCTCCTGTCCTGTGGGTAGGTGGTTTGCTCCCAGGCCACCCAGCTGTAAATAGATGCCTGTATTTATAGCTGGGGGAGTGAAGGTGGTATCTATATCATGTCTAGGTACAATTTTAAGCATTACGAAATGATATAAAATGCATTTATACAGTATATGAATGTTGTAAAAATTCTATAAATTTTCACATAATGTATCACTAGGAGAGAGAGAGAGAGAGAGAGAGAGAGAGAGAGAGAGAGAGAGAGAGAGAGAGAGAGAGAGAGAGAGAGAGAGAGAGAGAGAGAGAGAGAGAAAAAAAAAAAATATACGATGATTTTTTTAATATTAACAACTCGATTATTTACAGTATATGACCTCACAACCTGCTAACCGTTAAGGCTCAGAGTGTACCCGGAGGTTCCCTTGACCTTTCTAGACTTCCGAGAATAAGTTATGAGAGTGACTGGGGTCGAGAGCTTCCAAGAACGGGGGTTACTTTATCACTTTGTTTATAGTTGTTGTATATGTGTGATGACCACCACCAACACCACCACCAACACCACCACCACCACTAATAACACAACCACTACTAACACACCACACCACCACCAACATAATTACTAACACCACCACCACTACTACAGGTTCTGGGTAATAAGTTCAATATACAGGAGCGAACACAAACACCTGTATAGATTTTGTAGGTTCGATTTACTGGATAAGAGATATGTACACAGAGGGAGTAGTGCTCTCCGACCTGTCTGCTTGTCAACTGCTCTATAGACCAAGGTAAGTAGATACATATACACATTAATTAGGCATGTATATCTTAAATATATTGCTGACACAATAGCTAGGTTGAATAAATAGTACATAATGGAGTATATACATAATATACATAGTAAAATAACACAGCATACAGAATATACATAAGTGGTGGGTAGTTGTGGTGGACAGTTGGGGTACGGTGGTGGTATTAGTAGTG